GCTGGGGCTGCCCAGCTTGGGCGGGCGGTAGCTGTCCAATGAAGTGCGAAGACTTCTCCCGCACCCGCACCACCCACTCACCCAGCCTCAAAACACAATCTGCACCTGAAAAGAACGATCAGAAAGCTCGATGACGCATACACATGTATGCAACAACACCAATGAGACCGGTACTTACGGTGGATCGATAATGCTTAAATATCAAGTTCAACAGCACCGTGTCACGTGGAGTGGGTCGCACGTTGGGAAAGAGAAAATCGATCAGTTCCATGTGCGATACGTTCGGCGAACGTCGAGCAAATGTCAACAGCGAATTCAAATGCGATCTGATCGAATTTCGATAGGTCCCGTCCTCCGAGCACGGATCGAGCACAATACGGTGGGAACTGGTAAAAAAGACAGATGCGTCGATTAGGCGATCAATTATGAAGCGACGAGCGGAATCTAAATTGATCGAGCGAATTTAAACATTAGGCAATAGCGTACAATGCAGCCAGGAGAACAGAGAAACTTTGGAGAAAACAAATTTTACTAAAGAGAATGACAAACATGTAAAACGAGCTGATTTGGAAACTTGCCGGAAGGGAAATGATCAACAAGGAGGGAAAGAAACACGTAGCAACAAATATCACACATTGGGATTTTCGTGCTGAACTCACAAAGCACTTCGAATCAGTGAATAGAGATAGACCACGGCTTCCGGATGCGGTAGTTTACACTTGGCAGCGACACGAATGCGGCAGAAGTCGTCGTACACCAAATCGCATGTAGGAACATCTAGGGCTCTGACAAAATACGGGGATGGANATCATCAATTGCGAACAGCGCAAAACAAACAGACAGATGGACGGACTGGGAAGGGGCTGAACAAACGCTCAAAAACATAATAGACTAAAAAACCAGCAAAAAAGGATCCTGGATCGGAATACAACACAATATATGTGCATTGCATTACCTAAGTGTTCGTGACTTGGAAGAAAACAATCCACTGTGACAGATAAAAAACAACCAAGCCGTGTTGCTCACCGTCACAATGTCCCGGAGGGCACGTGACGAATCTCATCACCGTCATTAGACTCAACAACTTGCTGAAATACATAGCAACGCATTCATTACCCCTTTCATTTCGCTAAAATTGGTGACATAACCAGAAAAAGGAAATACTAAATTGAAATTAACGCTATGTAAGAAGACCAACTAGCACATCAATTTACAGTTTCACTGCGTACAACCACTAACCGTGCACTATCGTGCCTCAGTATTCGTTCATATCTTTCAGCTATCCAGTTCGATGAACATAAGTAGAAAGACAGGAAAGCTTGGAAGTAGGATCGAAGAGAAAAGTGAAAGGTCCTTGGACTAATGATACAGAGAAATTGAGAATGTCACCCAGACTCCTGCCTAGGAATTACATACCCACAAAACACTATCACCGACAGTTGCAAATCGGCCTTCGAAGCGGAACTATCAGATCGCCTCTCAAC